CCTCCGATGGAGTAGGCGGCGGCGAGATCGATCGGAGGTTCTTGAAGCAGGTTTACGATAACGTCCATGGAAACATCCAGATCGATCCGGTAACGATTTCGATCCTTGAGCATCGTGATGATTTATCCTGCATGTTTCGATTTCTTCGCGGAAATTGAACCTCTAACTGTAAGTTTTGGGAGATTTGAAACCTGTTGAATCGATTAGGGGCCTAGGTTTTTGTTGGAATTTCTGTGAATTTCCTGGAAATTGTGGTTGAGTGACGTGGATTTCATGATATCTTCACTCGGATTTTTTTTTTTGATGATTTGAGTCTATGTTGTTTAGTTGATGGCTCTGTGAAGTTTTAGCGCATTTAGATCTCGATATCTGATCCGATTCTTCTAGATTTTGAATTTTGCTGCAATTTTAAGTTTGGTTTAGCTGCTGCAGGTGTGGTTATGGGAGATTTCATCAAGTTTTGTGATGTGATTTGTCTAATCTTTTTTATATCATCTGTGAAAATAGAAGTATTCCGTGATTTTAATTATGTTGAACTGATCATAGGTCTAGTTTTCTAATTTGTGGTGTATTTAGTTTCTGTGTGATTTTAGTGTTTGTGTTAGGTGATGCAAGGTGTAGTTCTGGTTTTGGAGGAATGTTGCGCTGTTATTGCGATTTATTTTATCTTTTTCTATTTTTCGTGAGATTTGAACTCCGTTGAACCAATTAGAGGTTAGTTTTGTGGAATTTCTGTGAATTTTGTGCAAATTGCATGTAGATCATTTTTATGGAATTGAAGTTTTTTGTGAGGTTTAGTTGCTGTTAAGTCGATACGAGGTCTGGTTCTCAGGAAGAAAGATGAAATTTGAGGTCCACTGACGTTGCCTGCATGTTGTTTTCAAGAATTAGTTGACAAGTTGAAATTATATGGTTTTTTATGACTACTATCTATGTAGATTTGAATGGGACTTTGGAGTTTTGGAGAGTTTGATGGTGATCATTGATGAGTTTCCGTCAGATTCCTATGGTTAGTTTGGAACTGAAGTTGAAAATTGTTAGGTGCATCTAATTTATTATGGAAATTAAGTATTCGTGTGTGATTGGATTGCTGTTGAGTTGTGGCATATTCTAGTTTGATTTGTGGAAACAAAGATAGAGTGACGTTGATTAGGTAATTGCCAAGTCTGTTTGTGTTTGAAAGTCTAGAATCTCTAGATTCTATTGAAGTTGTGCATATTCATAAAACCTGACATTTTCCTGTTTAATGCGTGTCTGATATTGCTTCTCGTTATTTACAGAATTCATGCAGTTTTGAATCTTAACGAAGTCCGTGTAGAAAGTTTAATAGAGTTCAACATCGTATAAGTGACATGGTATCTATCTACACTGATTTGCAAATGATTTGATGTCAGAATTCCATTCTATGGTGCATAGGCATTTTAGTTTGAATATGAACAAGAGTATTGCTCAATTACATTTTTGTGGTACTATATCTTTCTGCAGTTATGTACTACACGTTTATAAGGGCTTTTGTAAAAGATGTTGCCTTTTTCGGAATTGCAGGTGTCCTCTTGTTCCTTACATTTGGCTACTTTTTGTTGTACCGATGATGTCAATTTTTCCATCTTAGCCAATACCTCTTCATATACTCTTGTGATCTCTTAGATAATAGATAACTGTGTATGAGTAACCTTATTCGTCTACTATAACTTATCTGCATAACATGCTGTTGGACCAGTGTAGCATCACGTGCTTGTAAATATAACATGAAATTTTTACACATTGCTTTATTTAATAGTTTAACGTGACCGTGGAAATTTTTTTTGCTTTGAATAAAGTTCAGCAGATGCAATTAAGTATGATGTTTATATTGATCGTATTTTAATAGATTATATTGATCTTATTTGTCGTCTTTACTTTTTTAGTTTTCCATCATATTAATGTTTCGCCCTTTGTTTCTTTTTATTCTGATATTTTCAATTGTGGTCAATTTGAATGGTTAACTATTCATTGAATGATCACAGCTCAGCTTGAAGTTCATAGACACTGAACAATTTCAAAGGTAATCTAGCTTCATGGTGTTTGTTTATTTCACTCGGTTTAACAATTATGGAGTAACTTTTCACTATTTTAATTTATTTTGAAACAGGCTACGAGACTTGAAGCAATTAGGTAAACTTCATTTAATCTAACATTGGTTTATGTATATTATTTTTGATATTTCAACATGACTTGTAACAGGCTCGATGTAATCATATTAGAGGTCTTGTTTTATGTGAATAATTTTCCTATCAACCTCCTGCACCCACCATTTTCTTGGTATATATCAGCATAAAAATGAAGTATGTGCCTTATAGAAGTAGTTATCACTTATAAAGAAAGAAGAAACATAAGAGCCTGGTCAAAAAATTTAACTTTGACGATGGCTAAAAGACATTTATAGAAGGTTGTAGCCTTCTAGGTTGATCCCTTTCATTGTTATCGTGGATAAAAGTCCAGCTAGAGCCATTAATAACTCATATAAGGGCTTTGACGTCAATTTATAATAAGAGGATGTATGACTGTATGAAGGTGTATGTCGATATCACTCAAACCCAAGTCATCTTCATCACCGGATAGTGTTTTCCACTAAACTATGGTTTTTGAGGAGGGGGGGGGGGGTTGTTTTTTCAGTAGAAAATTTCTTGCAAGGCAGTGAACTAGAGGTTTGCCATATGCACTGGAAGGCTAATTGACATTCAGGAAAATCTGCCTTATTTGTGTAATAAGCCTTTGTACTTTGTACAATGTACATTAGCAGGTTAGCCCTTCAAGAGAGATGCGAGTTTACCATAGTATTAAGCTCAGGCCATCAAAAAATTCTAGAAGGAGGAACTCTCATCATTTTGCTAGGCTAAGGAAAAAATTCTACAAAGCTACAGTATGTTACATCCATTACATGTCATTGCATTCAGATTTGAGGCATAATGTAAGCAGAAAAGTCAAAACAAAATATGTTTTGCAAGTACTTATCCATCCATGGGGGGCTTTATAATGATTTTCTTTCTTGGTAAGCTTGTGCATTATATAACAGAGCATCAAATGAACATTTGATCATAGCCATTTGGAACTGGACAGCTTTGCGCCACCAATTTGAAAGTACCTAAGTAACATTCAGTACTAAGCAAAGATATTGCATATATCCAGGTCTTGCGTACATGGTCTATCCTGGAGCAGTACATACCCGTTTTGAACATTCATTAGGTGTCTACTGGCTTGCTGGACAGACTGTTCGTTCTCTTCAGGCCTATCAAGTATGCTAAGTTTTGTATTTCTTGCTAATATTAGTTTCACTTGCATAATCTTGTGAATTTCATATGTGTATCTTCCTTTCTGTAGGGCTCAGAGCTTGATATTGACCGTTTTGATGTACAGACGGTGAAACTTGCTGGTATAACATAACTTTTCCTGGTCACATTTATCTGGACTGGTGTATTGATTTGTTTGCTTTGCTTTGCTTGCAGGTCTATTGCATGATATAGGTCATGGACCTTTCAGTCACATGTTTGAGCATGAGTTTCTACCAAGGGTCGTTACTGGGCCAAAATGGTATTCTATTTACATTTCTATACGTTTCTCTTGAGCGCACTTTTTAAGTGGATAAAGAAATAACTTTTCAAGCTTTTAACATATTATGGAGAAGTGGTGAACTCTCCAATACAGTTGAGGGCAAATATGCTGTAAAAGTTTCAGAGTATTCTGAATAAAGCTATATTTGGTTGTCTGTTATTTATTTCTGTTAAGGCAGCAACAAGTTTTGTGTAATTTTTGTCAGTTCATTAACTATTTACTCAATCTAATCTCATCATGTTTAGCAAGATGGAGGTTGCTGCAGTATCTCTATATATCATTCACCAGATTTGATGTTGGAGTGAATTACCTCATGTTTCTATGTTTTTGTTTCAGGTCTCATGAGCAGATGTCAGTGCAGTTAGTTGATTACATTGTTGATGAGCACCATATTGACATTGATTCAGACAGCCTTAGAAAAGTAAAAGTAAGATATTATCTTTACTTAAAAAGCATGTATTGATCCGATTTATATTTGTGACATATTTTGATACCTTCATTTTATTATCATATCACAGTTAAGAAAACTAGAAATTGAAAGTTTTCATTATGTTTGAATGATTACTTCCCTAATTTATTTCTCAGAAAATTGATGACATGTTTACATGGTTTTTACTCATTCTATATGAAATCTATTTGCTCTTGTCTTGCTCTTGTACTTATATCATATTGTGTCAGAATCTAGTATCTATAATTAGTACAATGGATACGACATTGATTAAAACAATCTTTTTCCACAGGAGATGATCACAGCCAGTTATGTTCCGTCAGTACAAGTAAGTTGATTTTGCCCTTTGCTTCAGTTTCCACATATTACCGGAATTTTGTATGTACTACTCACCTAAACTATTCCTTTTAATAGAATTACTTATTTAGTTATTTTCTTTGTTATCCGTTTAACTGTAGATTTCTACACAGAGCAAAAAAGAGAAACGTTTTCTATATGACATTGTTGCCAATGGTCGCACTGGGATAGATGTTGACAAGTAAGGAACCTTATTGATAATAACTAATGGCTGTAGCAAGTGAGCTTTAATTCTTTGTTTTATTTTTTTAGGCATTCATGTTATTAGTTATTCCGTATAGGTTTGACTACATTAATCGTGATTGCCGAGCTTGTAATATTGGCTGCAATTTTCAATTTAGAAGGTATGTTACTCATTTTTTCTCGGATTCTTGACCAATTTTCTGGCAATATTAGATTTGGTGGCTTCTTTCAGCATGGAGTATTACTTGGTTGGCCGTCAACTGTCGAAGTAGTTGGATAACCAAAACTTTCTAAATATTGATTAGAAACGTTGGATTCATTCTGCTTATTAGGAAGAATAAAGAATCTCCATTTTATAATTATGTTCAATGGTCAGGCATCTGAGAGCTCTTCTGTACTTTTATTGTGCCTCATCTCTCAGGGAGAATTAAATAAAAATCTGTGCCTTTTAGGACAATTTTTCAAAACCGTCCTATTTGGACATTTATTCTAAAAAAAAGACCTATTTCAGTTTTATTTGCAAAACCCAACCTGGTTTCAGCCTCAGCGCTGAAACCAGGTCGGTTTTTATAAAAAAACCGCCGAAACTTCACGGGAGTTCAACTCCCGTGAAGTTTAGCATACTTAAAAAATCTATTAAACTTCACGGGAGTTGAACTCCCGTGAAATTTTGTAGGTGAACAAATTTCACGGGAGTTCAACTCCCGTGAAATTTGTTACAGTGCAAAAAACTCCCGTTCCCAATTCCATTCATCAGATTTTTCTTTTCATTTCCCCATTTCAACGAAAAGCATAGATATAACATCATAGCTAGCAGCAGCTGCAGCCAAGAGCCAAGAGATGACAAGAGCTCCTCCACCTCCTCCTCTACTGCTTCTACAGCTCCTCCTTCTCTTGAATCTGTCTTGTTCCTTCTTCACCTGCGATGCCAAGAGAGCTGGAGCAGACCATAGAGGAGGAATCATGAACGATGCCGCAACTTCTTAGTGTCGTTGATTTGGGCAATTTATTGGGGGTTTTGCCTCTTTGAACGTCGATAACCTCGGCCTCAGCGCCCCATTGACCGTCTCCCACGCCGCGTCGATGTCCCTCTTGTTTCTCCTCACCACCGCCCCGATGATAAGCGCGCGCCCGTCGGCTTGCATGAGCGTGCCGACACCCTCGGCGATGATGTTGACGCTGAGGTCGAAGAAGGGGCGGGCGATGGAGAGCTTTTGGTCGGCGGTCATGGCGGCGCCAGGGGCTTGCTTGCCGTCGCGGAGAGTGGTGTCGAGGATTCGGATGTAAAATGGGTCGGAGATGAAGTTAGGGGGAATAAGGAGGAGTCATACTGTCAGTAACTAGGAGCTCAACAAGGGGGAGAGAGAATGGAGAAGAACGGTGTGATGGGCAAGTGTGTTAATATCTCCATTCACGGGAGCGGGAGTTATTTTGTACTGTAACAAATTTCACGGGAGTTGAACTCCCGTGAAATTTGTTCACCTACAAAATTTCACGGGAGTTGAACTCCCGTGAAGTTTAACAGATTTTTTAAGTAGTCTGCTAAACTTCACGGGAGTTGAACTCCCGTGAAGTTTCGGCAGTTTTTTTATAAAAACCGACCTGGTTTCAGCGCTGAGGCTGAAACCAGGTCGGTTTTTGCAAATAAAACTGAAATATGTCTTTTTTTGAGAATAAATGTCCAAATAGGACGGTTTTGAAAAATTGTCCGTGCTTTTTATTGTACTTTTTGTTGTGCCTCATCTCTCAAGTTAACTGCCTTTCTCTTGTTGTATAAAAATCTGCTTCACTCCCTTGTAGCGAGCTTTTCCTGTCAAATGAAATACACCCATTAGAAAATCATCTTGTTCCTTCTGTCAGATTGCTTCTTGCTGAAAGCAAACCTCATCAAAATTAACATAAAGTCGTTACGCCTCGTTTGGTACGTGGGAATGAAGTCAAGTGAAAATGGAATGGAAGAATGAATGGAATGGAATGTATGTGAGAATGGAATGGTCATTCTCATTCTCTTATTTGGGTGCGTTTGTAGAATAAAGCTAGAATGAAAATCTAATTCTCATTCCCATGTTTGGTATCACTAGTTCACAAGTGAGAATGGAATCTCATTTTCTAATAATGCCCTTATAACAACATAGATTTTTAATAAGATAAAAATAAACATTAATGATAATAACTAAAAAAATTTATTTATGCATATGTTATATTAATCTAGGTATGTGTTATACTAAAGCGCATGTTATCGATCAGGTGTATGTTTTGTTTATATTTTTTTAAACAATTCTCACTATTTCTGCATATGTTATATTAATCTAGGTATATGTTATAATAATGCCCTTATACCTCTATATATAGTCTAGACATGGCATATGTTATATTAATCTAGGTATATGTTATAATAATGCCCTTATACCTCTATATATAGTCTAGACATGATATGGTTTTGATAATTTTAATATTATAATAATGCCCTTATACCTCTATATATAGTCTAGACATGATATGGTTTTGATAATTTTAATATTTTGACCAATTTCTCGGCGAGAGTTTCCTCTTTTCATTAATAATATGGGTCAAATATTTTTCAATAAAAAGTTAGATTTATTGTTGTGCGTGAACCACAATCAAACATGTACGCAATGGGTACATATAGTTCTATATGGTGGGAAAACAATAGCAAAAGTTCAAAAAGAATATAATATGCTGGTGAAAATAACAGACTTTAAACATTGGTGAATAAACAAAAAAAATTGATTGACCAAAAAAGATATTGACATGAAAGAATTTCAATCGGCAAATAATATATAGTTTCAGTTGTATCTGTTTTTATATTAAATTGTGTTGCTCCTATGTTGAGCAATTGTGATATAATAGGCTAATGAAATATGTACCGTTAGTTTTAATATGCTACTGAAATATGTACCACTAGTTTTAATCCCTACCCCACAAAAAATTCCTATTGTTCGAATATAATTAGTAGCTGAGAGAAAATGAGAATACGTAGTCAAAAACCATGATTTTTAAATTGATTCTTATTATTAATAGGGTTATAATTGAAAAAAAACTAACTAATTTGATTCTCCCCTTGAATGGGAATGATCATTCTCTATCTTCTCACTTGGAATGCCCATTCTCACAAAAAGTGGGAATGGTCTTTCCAACATCTAAAAACAAGTTTTGTTTAGTATGAGGGAATGAGAAGTGAGAATGATATTCCATTCCACCCCATTCCCGCGTACCAAACGGGGCCTTAGAGTTCGCATGGAACTCGAGCAGTTGTAAGGGGAACACTTGAGATAGATCCTAGTAATTCTACCTACTGGTCCTAGTGAGGAATGGTCTTCTCATTTCCCTTAAAATGTTTAATAACTGTAGCAAAGTCATCACAGCGAGTGATGAAGGCAGAAGTGTAAGGTCTATGGCAGTATGTTCAAATTAAATATCTCTGGTACGAGTCTTATGGTCCTTAGTTTTGTTAGTGATTATATCATGTTTGAAGACATATTTGAATGATTTGATCATGATTTGCAGGCATTGGAGAGGTTTTTTGCTTTACTTCACCAATTTTCTTATTTGCATCACTCTTTTTTATGCATTTAGAATACTATAGTGGAATGTAGTAAAGGCACATGCTTGAATTATGCCTGCCAGAGATGAAACTAAACGTTCGGATGACATTTCAATGAAGTAGTACAATGGTTTAGGAGCTTGGACTCATTTTATGGTTGGGAAATGGAAAGAGTCGAAAATGGGAAGAGAGTTGGAATCTTAGAATAAAATTGTAATTGCTGATAGCTGCATCGAGTTCAGGAAAATATTCATCTTAACTTCTCTCTTGCAAACTGTGTGTTACTTGAGATACTTGTCCATTCTTTATTGAATGGGAAGAGTAAAATAAATGCATCGAATCAGACTTTCTATCCATTGATGATGATGGCTGATAGCTACGTACTGTTCATGATGATATTCATTTCAGTCTCTTTTCTCTTGCAAACTATGCATTGCTTGAGATGCTTTTCCATTCTTTATGTCAAGTGACTCCCTCTACATTTTCTTGTTGCAGGCTGTTGGATAGCATGCGTGTTATGGATGATGAAATATGCTATCCTGCAAAAGAATGTTAGTATTTTGTGAAATGACATTTATCATATTTATTCTGTCTTGCTTATTATACTTGATATTGGATCAGATCTTACTATCCACAAATTATTTGCCACACGTGCTGATCTTCATCGAACAGTTTATACTCATGCAAAAGTAAAGGTACTAATATAGCCTTCTAACTGTGTTTATACTCATGCATAAGATTGATGTATGACTTTTAAAAGTTTACTGTTCAGATAATATTTTTTCTCCTTTCTGACGTATACTAGAATAATTTTCCTCCGTGTTGAGTATACTTGTCTGTGATGTAATGAATCAATTATTGCTACTTTCTATTGCTATTTTGTGATCTGCTTCTGAGTGCTTCATGTCTTCAGGCCATAGAGCTTATGCTCGTAGACGCACTTGTGAAAGCAAATAATTATCTCTCCATAGCTTCCCATATTTCAGACCCAGCACAGTACTGGAAGGTTCTCTGATTGTTTATGCTTTATTATGGTTGTTTGAATTTTTTATTTATCTGTTATACTTGCAGCATATGCTTAAATCTCCTCTTTGATTTGCTCCTTGCAGTTAGATGATACAATCATGAAAGCCATTGAAACAGCTCCAGATGAAGAACTGAAAGAATCTAGAGATATACTCCGACGAATTCGTAGGAGAGAATTATATCAGGTAATCTTCCCATCTCTTCTTTCTTAAATCCTGGTGTCGCAACCTGCTTGAAGAAATGACATCTAAAACAATTATTCTTTACTGATGGATTTTTTTAGTGCATTTTTCTGCTGTATTGAGCAAAGCTAGTATATATTTTGTTTCATTTCAAAAATGACCAACTTCCTCTATTGCTGCAGGATCAGTCCCTGATCTTAATTTATCTAAATGATTTTATATTTTCTGATACATCTCTTTCAAATACTGATGATGAATGCGTTATTCTAGTTACATGTGAAGAAATGTATAGCTTATACTTTTGTTCTGTGTTAGTTCTGTAATGAGTTTGCTGTTCCAAGGGACAAAGTAGAGCACTTCAACAGCATAACTGCACGGGACATCATTTGCTGCCAGGTTCCAAGTCATCTAGCTCTAATTATCTTCGCTGGTTAATTGCTAACAAATTAACATATCTTAAAATCATGTAGTTGTTCATTCAGTGTAAGTTCTCTGTCTTAAACAGAAATCTAGTGGAGTAACACTAAAGGAAGAAGATATTGCTGTTAGCAACGTCCGAATAGATCTGAGTTGTGGAAAAGATAACCCTCTCGACAGGTGTATCATCAAACAGATGTTTTATCATTATTTAATAGTTTTTTTCTAGCGTATTCTTGAAAATACTAACATCTTCTTTTGCCTTTCTATGCATGTGCTTCTCCAGGATCAATTTTTTCCAGGTGAAAATTTCAGTATCTTCGAAAGATATCATGTTGAGTATGTGTTTTCCTGGGGTTTCTTTATCAAATGCTCTTTTAAGAATAGAAAACTTTCCATGGAAGATGCTTTTCAAGTATATTTACGGACTAAGCTATATAAATACAAAAGCACCTTTGCCAGTTGGCCCCATTGATGTGTATTTTGCTTTTCAGTAAATTACATGTGCACTCTTTTCTCTGGTGCATCTGAGGATTATGTGAATGAGACACATTCCTTATGTTAAATGACCACGCGGATCATCTGCAACATAAAATGTTCTAGTACCATGTTATATTGGAAAAGTTACTTGATTCCAGAGATGGATAGTCATGTTTTAATCATTAAATTAAAAAACAGATAGGATAACAATAATATAGTCTTTCCAATGTGGGATTCAACAAATTAATCTAATCTCTAATATGTATATATATACAATGCAGTAGATAATTTACATGAGGAGTACTTTTTTATGTAGCTTCCACTGGTTGGTTAGTTGCTAGATAGCTTTGATTGTGCTTGTTGCATTACTGGACACTAGATAATTATTGGCTTGATCAATCTCCATAGTCAGTGCTTTCTCCTCTTAAGTTTCTCTTTAAGTAAATTTATCACAAATAGTAATGTATTTTTTTTCTCAAAAAAATCTTATCAGGATTACTCGAGCGAGAGAAAATTTCCCATCTCAGATGACCGTGTCAGTCATCTATTGCCTTCATGCTATCAGGACAGGATTGTGAGAGTTTACGCCAAGAAACCAGAGCTGGTGTGTAAATATTACACAAAACCCCTTCCTTTTTCCCCCTTCTTCCGTAAAACCTGATGTTTATAAACTATTGTAGGCGGACGCAATATCGGATGCATTTGAGAATTTGCAGGTGAAGATGTACGGAGGCACACTTCATGCCACGCCCGAGAAGAAGAAACAACGCAGGAAGTAACATGTTTTCAGTAGTCTTCTTTACAATTACCCATATTTCCATGATATAGTATACAGAATACACTATATCTTCTTTATGTTTTGTATATTAAAGGAACTACTTCTTAACATGCAATGATCGTATACATAGGTGGATATAACAGTGTATAGGCATACAGTTGAATTTTGTATAGCTGGAAATATCTGGCTATTTTATATATGTTTTGACCTGCTGTTAATGGGCTTCTGCTAAAGAAATGAAGTCATGCTGCTGTTGCTGAGGCCTGTTTGTTGACAGCCCAATTATATGGCGGCATTTATGTGGGCTACACCACCCGTATAATAATGTTTCTAAGCCTTGAGGAAATGTAGACATTTAACTTTTGTTGAAAAAGGCAAAGCAGGGGTTGAACTAGTACTATTCTTATCAGAACTATCCGCATACGAGCGGTCCAATATAAAGGCTAAATTACCAATTTGCCCTCCTCATTAATGGATCAGAATCATTCTCTGTATGCGGAGTATGCGGGTGGTTCTGATAAGATATGTAGTTGGGATGAATGGTGAAACCGTTTAATTTTTATTTTTTTTATTTTTTTGTTATTTTAAGGGGGGGAATTTCCCTGTAGAGGATCAAATCATATAGAGAGAGAAGTTCTAATAAGGTTCATTGCTAACTTTAAAACACTGCAAACAGTATAAAAGTCAACACAAGCATCATTTTGAAACAAGTGTCGAAACTTTTAAATTGCTCCTTTTTCTATCCTCATTTATCTGTCGTCATCCCTGATCTCAAGTATCACTTCCGAAATTAAAACGATCTTGATGCAAAAGGAATAATAATAATATTGAGGAAAAACAAAGATCTGAGAAGGAAAATAGAATTTTAAAAGGGCATATTCATAGGCACGAAACACATATGATCAGAACCATTCTTTATTGATTCTCAAAGACGATTGTATTTACAGTTTTCGCCCCTTTTAATGAAGTTCTTTTTGTTGCCATATGAATGGAGAACAATCTATGAGTTTCAAAGTTTGTATTCATCTCTAGCTTAATTGGCAATGCCTTGTGCGTTGTGTCTTTCTTTGCAGTTTCCCCATTCTTTTGCATGTTTTAAACTTGGATACTAACTTGTATCATTGCCTACTTTGTGTTCCAAAAGTGGTTTTGTTTTTGTTTTTGTTTTTTATATAATTTTGTTTTTGTATTATTATAACTCTTCAAATGAGCTACATTTCAACTTTAGCCCTCTAATATTCATGTCTTCTATTTAAATATCAACTTAATCATAATCTTTATAAATTTAAATAGATAATTACAATTTATAAATATGTGTAATAAGAAAAAGTTGAAGCCATTCAAATTCATTTTGAGGAACAAATATAGAAAACCTTCTCCTTCTAAGAAACGAAGTATAAATTTCACATAAATATCAGAAACTATATTTTTATCATAAACTATTTTTATCAAAAAAAGATGTTAGTGTAAGTTGAGTAGAATTTCTATCACAACATTGAGCTGAGCAATGTAGGGACAATGAAATACTGAGGCTATTCCCCTACTTGCATCTTACAAATCATAACGCTTCATATGGTGCGGGGGCATTCTTACAGCGTTCCTACCTGTGTAAGTCGGAAAATAAGTGTACTATAATATTCTCTTATTTACTTTACTAAAATTATTTTCTCATCCTCTTTTGTTTCTTAATTATAATGAATTAATGTAGATTTTTTAAATAAATATGAGTAACTCCATTAAGATTATTTTTTATGACATGCAATATTTTTATATAGAATAAAAATAACATTTTTAAATAAATATATAATATTATTGAATAAAATCCCTATTTAGAAAGGCAATTGATAGATTAAAAAGAAGAACAAATTTTCATTTTCGACCATTTCTGAAATTTATTTAGTATTTTCGACATACTTTACACTTATTTATATTTTGACTTAGTTTCAGCCATCTTTCAGAAAACGGGTCGAAATTAATAAATAAGCACAAAAAACTTCATAGCTTGAGAATCATGAGATTGGAACTCAAGACCACTTGAATATTTGAAATTTATCTTTCTTGGGGCTAACCACTTGGCCAACTATTGTAATCACGCTAAATTTGAACTTGTATTGATTCCCTAAACATTCACAGGAGTCACAATCCCGTGAAGTTTAGCCTAGTTCTAAATTACATGGGATCGAGAATCCCGTGTAGTTTAACTTTCTACTAAACCACCAGATTCTCAATCCCATGAATCTTTTTGCGCTTATTTATCAATTTCGATCTAGTTTCTACCCGGTGCTTGAAACTATGTCAAAAATGATAAAAGTGCAAAGTATGTCATATTTGATAATTAATTTTTAAAAATGGTGGAAAATGAAAATTGGCTCTAAAAAGAAAGGAAAAAAGTTATAAGAAAGGAAAACTTCATATCATGACCTTTCTCTCAAATCCCACCACCACCTCACTCCCCAAAATATAACACATCCTCGATTCAAAAAACAAAACAAAAACAAAAGCCAGAAAAAGCTCAATATAACTCCCAAGTAGAATCTCTACTCAAGCAATAACCCAGCTCAGAGAGAGAGAGAGAGGATGAAGGAAGAAGGAGCAGGAGATGGGTTCTTGAGAGCAGACCAAATCGACCTCAAGAACCTCGACGACCAGCTCGAGAGGCACTTAGCTCGAGCCCCAACTCTCGAGAAGAAGAAGGAGAGCGAGCTCGAAGAAGAGGGAGGAGCGAGCTTTATTGGGAGCAGGCAGCGAGAGGAGTGGGAGATTGATCCAACGAAGCTGGTGATCAAATCTGTGATCGCCAGAGGGACTTTTGGGACCGTTCATCGTGGGGTTTATGATGGCCAAGATGTTGCAGGTGCGCGACAAAAATAAAATAAAATAATAAAAAGTGAAAAGTAAAAAAATGTTGGATTTTGATTGGGGTTTTGGAATGCCCATTAATGGTTTTGTAATACCCATGTTTTGTTTCTTTTTTATCATATTTTGGGATTTTTGGTTAGAGCAAGAAATTTCATTGCATTTTGGGGATTAGTCTGTCAAATTTATCTCGTTATACCCATTTAGTTCTACTCCAATGCTTGCACGTGCTTTGATTTTTTATTTTTATTTTTTGAATTTTCTGATGTTTATAGTGTCAATTATCTGTTCGTTATCGCAAATTAATTCCTCTCTAGTTTAGATCACAGTCATGAAGTGAACAGCTACTTCTAAAATCATGGAAAACTTAAATTTTTACTGCTGTTACTTTAGTTTGGCTCCAAACTGTTAGATTTAAACTGGAGGAAGTAATTTGGTAGGACTAATAAGTTTTGAAGGATTTATTTTATCATACTCCCTTTAAAAGCACGAGTTTGGAAAATCTTTTTTAGACAAATATACCCCTTTATAGTTTGAACTACCTTATCTATAATCAAATTCTAATTTTTAATGGTCAATATTACCCTTCACTATTTTGAATATTTTATTTATATCTTAATCTATCCTAATCATAATCATATCTTATCCTAATCCTATGTAAACCATGTTTAGCTTAACAATTTAAAAAAACTAATATTAATAAAATATATAAAACATAAAAATGATATTAGTTTGTTAAGATAAAGAAATTACAAGTAGATAACATATTATAATACATGAAGTATTGCAAAATAACCATAAAAAGTTTTAAAATTGCAAAAAAGACCCTGAAAAGTTCAAAATTATAAAAATCATCCCAATGTCTCAAAACTTAAAATAAAAAACATGAAATTAAAAAATTAATATCAGTTTGCAAAGAATTTAAAATTTACAGTTAACACCTCAATGTCTCAAAAATTATAAAAACACCCACAAAAGTTTAAATTACAGACAAGCACATTAAAATTCTAAAATTTTAAAACTTACAAACAACACAGATGAATTCAAGAGATTACCATGATACACCTAAAATTTTTGACATTTAAATTTAAATTTTTTAATTAACACCCTCAATATCTCAAAAATTATAGAAACACCTTCAAAAGTTCAAATTATAAAAAGCCACCCTAAAATTCTAAAATTTGTAAATAAAATAAGATGAATTCAAGATATTACCCTTAGACACCTAAAAAATTAAAATTTGCTAAAATTAACCTCAAAATATTTAAAAAACTCCTTCAAAATTTAAAAATCGTAAAAAAAACTCTAAATTTTCAAAATTTTTAACTAGCACACATCAAATTCGTCGATTGGTAGACCGCTGAAATTTAATATTTTTCAAAATTAATCTATAGTTTTAATAATTACAAAAGACACCCTCAATATATATATATATATATATATATATTAAAATTTCTAATTTAGGGATTTACTATCCATTTTCAGCATCTAAGAATAGTCTAAGTTGATACTGGTAAACAAAAACAATAAGAATTGATTAAAAACATCCGGTTAATGGATAAAATTTTTAAAAATATTATAGATTAAAAATTATCGGCACTATATAAATTAAAGTAATTTCATATAATTTTAGTAATAAGTTGGGGTAGCCAAAATACATTCGTAACATTAATTGATAGATGTTTAAATCCATAGAAATGATAAAACACTATAATATTATACCTTAGCATTAATTGATTTTAATTTAGAAACTTTAATCTTTGACGTTAATAATATTTATAGGGTAAAAGAATACAAGGAATTACATATGGAGAAACTATTAGAATATTTAGAGATAACTTTAAAAGAATTGAGTTATTTCCATTGCAAATGGGAAAGTGATGGAAATAAATCTAAAATTCAGAAAACGTCAATGAATCACTTGAATTGGCATTAACATAAGACATATCTATTAATGAAGCACTGAATGAGTTACATTAAAAAATAATTTAATAACTTTATCCTAATCAAAGAAAAAATCTCCATGGAAGACATAAGAAAAATTAGTAAGTATTCATAAATTCCATACTGTGTTCTTCAAATTAAATATTAATATTATAATCTAAGAGAAATTGGTAATGAATAATGCAGGTATTTAGTTTAGATCTTTATGGAAAATGACAGGGATAGAGCAAAGGTAATATTATTGAAATAACAGAAATTCTTATTGGATGCACATCAGAAGAATTCATTTTAGAGGAAAATAAAGAGATAGCTTCTAATTTATTTAAGTAATAAATTAGGAACACAAAGAATTTTATATATATGAAATTAATATTTATTCTCATTGAAATAGAAAAAAAATCAAAGTCTATATTTTGAGCAGTTTGTGTTGAACATCATAAGTACATTTGACTTCTTTGTAAAGTTAAATGAGATGATAAAAAATTAACGAGCCCAGGAAAGATAATAGCATAAAAAATACAAAATTAGCCTGATGTCACAATTGATGTAGATGATGAAGACAATACTCTAGAATTACCCGAGAAATGATAAATGATAAACCTAAAGAAGGATTGATCTTAACTCAATAAAAAATAAAATAGAAGAAATAAAAAACAATATTTTCTGAATATTTTATAGAATAGTTTAATTATTTTGAGTGAAATTAGGAATCTTTAGAAGGGAGTTTCATAAAAAAAATTTAGTACTTTTATATTCTTATTTGGATGTTTTTATCATATAAAAATATACTAGAGTTAGCATTAATCTTTAATTTATATTTTTTTATGAAGTCTATCAATGATTAGAAATAAACTTCATATTCTCTTTTGCATCGTTTTAACATACTTTAAATCAATCATTTTGCCATATTGGTTTTAAATATTCACCTTCTTTGTATAACACTATTTTAATATTTTTCACTTTGCAATGCTATACTTTCTCAAATAAAGCTTAGTTTCCTATCGGTCAAAAATAATATGAAAATTTAAATTATTTTTAAATTATATTTGTTTTTTTTCAATTCAAATATCAACATGAAAATTTAAATTGGGTGTATCCCATTTAAACAAACATAAAAAAATAATTGGGATGTAAGAGTTTAAAGAAAAAAATAAGCACAAACTGCCAAAAATACTTAATCATGGTATTAAATCACGTGCATTGCACGTGTGTAAAAACTAGTAATATTAAAGTTCTAGGGAGACTTTTTCCCCCTCCAAATTAGATGACAGTTGAGGGATTAACATCTCAAATTTTATGACAGTTATCGTATCTATATGTTTGTTTTTTCGGTACTTACTTGGGTTGTCTTTGACTTTGAATCTAGAAATATAGAAAATTATAACATAATAAGAGGAAGGGAATTACCTTTTTCTTATTAAAATTTTCAGATTTTGACAGCTATTTGCTCGGTTATAATTTTAGCACCCATATATTAACTTCCCTTTTTCTCAATCTAGCTTATAGAATTAAGAACTAGAAATACATTCAACTGTTAACCACAGAAGAAATGCAAAGTTAGTAGTAGAAATCTAAAAACAGTTGGTAGTCTTTTGCTAATCTGCTTATTGTCTCCAATTCCAGTTTCTTCTTGTCTTATCTAATTCATCAAGAAAGTAAGGCTTCATTTAATCCATAAAGTTTTGGAAACATGATACATATTATCTTTTAAGCTTTAAACTTGTCCATGCCTATGAAACTTTGAACCCTGCTCCTTTGTTCATACTGTTTTAGCCATAAGGATGCTCATGACCTTTTCACAAGTTTGGGACTGATATGTTTTCTTTTTACACTTTCATGTGATATCAACTTACCAAGTGTGATTCTAATGCTAATCTTGTGATATGAGTGTGATAGGTAAAAAGCTATAACTAATAAATTGCAAAATGAGCAATGTTGACCCTGTGGCTTAGAAAATAAAGTAACCAGTTATTGATGTATGAAACCAATATATTAGATGTATAAAATTGCAACATATAAATGCAGCTACATTCTCCTTGTTAGGTGGTAAATCATCAGATTGTTGTTTCCTTGTTTTATCTCTTTCGTAACATTTTTTTGGCTCTTCAAACCAATTTATACACATCCTCAAACAATTCTTTATGTAATTTCCCTTCCCTTTTTTTCTTCCTGTCTCCATATCTAATTTCTCATTGTCCTGTCCAGATCATCAAGAAAGTAGAGAGAAAAAGCAGGGTTTAGAGAGAGCATAAGAGTTTTACTTCATTAATTGCATAAAGTTTTGGGAACATGACCTGGAAATTACCTTTTAAGTTTATATTCATCATGCCTATGAAACTTGGAATCATGCTCCTTGGTTCATATTGGCTATGGATGCTCGTCACTTTCACAAGTTGGGACTGATGTGTTTTCTTTCTGCACTTTCATGTGATACAAACTGACCATGTAGGATTTTTATGTTAATCCTGTGATATATCGAGGGTGATAGGTAAAAAGCAGCCATATAACAAGTAGAATGCACAAGCTAGTTTAATTGGGCAAACAAGGACGTGCTTTTGACGAAGATGAGAAAAGAACAATTTTGATCCTTTGGCCTAGAAAGTACAGCGGGAAGATACTGATGTATAAAATAAAATATAAATCTATAATTTTGCAATATAAATTAATATTTCCATTATCGGGAGCTTGTTTCCTTAATTTAAATACCATATTATTTTCATATGGACAAGTGCAAAATACACAACAATGAACAATAGTGCTGTTCCTAACTGGCTAAGAATGGGTTTTTTCTGTAATTTAATTAAATAATTTTGAAATAGCTTTTTTTAATTACTTTCTGTTTCCGTTTCCAGTGAAATTGCTTGACTGGGGGGAAGAAGGCAGCAGAACAGAAGCTGAAATTGCTTATCTTCGGATGGCCTTTTCTCAGGAGGTTTCAGTTTGGTATAAGCTTGACCATCCCAATGTAACTAAGGTATGACTTTTACTACTTTTCTCTTTTACAATTTTTATAACAACATTGTTGAAATACAACACATTAAAGCTAATGTCGTGAAATTTCTTTATTAAGCCATGATGCACTTATTTCCTGTGCTTGTAGCGTTTATGTTCTGATGTCTACTGGCAGTAGTAGTGGATACCACATTCTAATAACTGGATGTCTCATACATTATGTCTTTGATACGTATCATTTAAAATTTCACCACGTCAAAGTGATAGGTTAAGCTCATTTTCAATTATGGGCTGAAGGGAAGTGGCAATATCATTCAGAAATTTGGTTTATTGGAAGGATCAGTAATAACATTTGATAACAGAAGCAATTGATATTGAAACTTTTTGAAATGAGTTGATTAACAAGGCTAATAATACAGTACATTATGGCAGCACTTAGGATAAGACATTCTTGTCATATATCCAGTCATTAATTCCCTATCTAATTACCAGCAACCACTTGTTTTTAGTGGTTTAGATTTAACAATTGGAGAAACAGCATATTCATAACAGTTTCTTCCAGCGACAGATTGTGTGGATACAATCATGCAATTGCGTAAAGCAATTCTTGTGTTTAATGTGCATGTAATTGAGGCAAAAGCATGGGATCAACCCTTTTGTTTACTAACCAGGATATTTCACATGCCATGAAATGCTAACATGTTTGTTCATGTGTTTGTGTGTTTATCACTATATATGAGAGTATCCCCTTATCATATACACTTTTATACACACAAATGCACATACATGCATACATACATACATAATTTATAATCATCATGTTAGAATCTCAAGGTACAGAATTTGGACAAGAAAGTATTTACCCTTGTTAAAGTGCATTAGATGTTTCCTTTTCCACTTCTATACTAACATCCATTCAAATTTGTTTTTCAGTTTGTAGGAGCTACGATGGGCTCAAGAGATTTAAGTATACAAACAGAAAATGGTCAACTTAGCATGCCAAGTAATTTATGTTGTGTGGTTGTTGAATATCTTCCAGGGGGCACATTGAAGTCATATCTTATAAAAAACCGGAGAAGAAAACTAGCCTTCAAAGTTGTTATCCAATTAGCACTTGATCTTGCTAGAGGGTGAGCAACGGCCTTCTGTCCCTTTGCAGTTTAGAAATTCATTGCAGATCCATATTACTACTGAACATTTGCAAATACTTTTGTTTTGTGTTGTAGGTTGAGCTATCTTCACTCAAAAAAAATTGTGCATAGAGATGTGAAAACTGAGAATATGCTTTTGGATAAGGCAAGAACCATTAAAATTGCTGACTTTGGTGTTGCTCGTATTGAGGCTCAAAACCCAAATGATATGACGGGTGAGACTGGAACTCTTGGCTACATGGCTCCTGAGGTATAATCCTCTTATTGAAAAGTTCCCCAGAATGTGTAATTCATTTGCTTACTATTATCCATAGCTCATTATCCACAAATAACTTGGGGTTATTTCCGCTTCACAAATTTATCCTCTTTGATGGGAGTATGGCGTTCTCAAAATAAAATCAGTTTAGCCTTCTTGGTTTTCCCCTGTTACAAAAATTTCTACATGTTTCTTTAACAAGTTGATCATGCGTCCCCTTTCCTCATATGTCAATAGGAGAAGCATATGCTATTGGAAATCTTAACAAATTTTCTTTGCTGACAAAAGATGTAACTCCTCTGAAATATTTCCTTATTAGATTCTTGTGGTATCAATGATATAAGTATTATATTATCTATCAAGGCTTCATTTATTAAACTAAGAGCTTAAACCTCTCCTTGCAGGACTAATGTTCTTTCTTTGTGAACTTTCAGCTGCTAACTTGCTACAAGTTCATTCTGATATCACATCCCAAGATTCTCAACCCTTTTTTTCTGTGCTTGTTTAATAGTGAAGTAGTAAAGCAAGAGTATTCTATGGTTAGCAGATCAATAAAGAACAGTATTATCTAAATATCCAATTTAACTGAAAGCATGCAATAATTTTCACAGTATTTGCATTTATTATTCATGTAGTTAGATATTTACCCTTCCAAAAACTAATTACAGGTCCTCAATGGAAACCCTTACAACAGAAAATGTGATGTTTACAGTTTTGGTATCTGCTTGTGGGAGATATACTGCTGTGATATGCCATATCCTGACCTTAGCTTCTCAGAGATAACTTCTGCAGTTGTTCGGCAGGTATATACTGTTATTTCACATTGATACTTTATTTATTTTTTCAGCATATTTAGCAGAACATGATAGGGTAGGAGAAATTTGAAATTGCAACAAAATGACATTATTTGGCATGCAACAAGAAGCAATCAAAAGGACTGTTAACAAAATTCTCAAAGCCTCCTTTATTACATTAAAATTCTGATTTAGTGACAATTGAGTTTTATAATTTTTATACTTGTCCCTATGGTTATAACTTCCTCGCTGATACTTTTTTTTCTTTTAGAAGTCCAGTTTAAAAGTTATAATTCTATACTCCACCAAGAAGGGAAGCTGAAAAAAGAATGTAAGAAATGTTTATGCAAAGGTTACTTTAAGATACATTTTCGAAGACAAGTACATTCATAGCTTGAAGTCAAACTCATCATCGTTCACATTGGGCATGCTTAAAATTCCAAATAATTGTTAAAACATCTACAACCCTCTTCTTCACTGAACTCTTTCTTTCTTTGAAAGTGGTATAATACAAATTTGTGTGCACATGCAGACTCTGATCCAAATTAATTGGCTAGAATTTATCTAGTTGGTTCGTTTTTCAATATTAGTCCCTTAAATGTTGAATCTTTCATATTTTGAAAGTAGTCCCTCAAATCACCGAAATTGCTATTAGGCCTTCCAATTCTTAAGTTATTCGGAATGAATCCCTCAAGTTATTGAAATTTTTAGTAGCTGCCGCCCCCCCCCAGACCCTACCGCGGCCCCCCCCGTCGCCCGCACGCAAAAAAAAATCCTAAGCTATTCTGAAATTAGTCCCTTAAGTCGTTGAAGTTGCTACTAGTTCCCCTAATTCCAAAGTTACTCTGAAATTAGCCCATTCAATCAAGAGTAGAAGTAGTGATTAACGGGTTATGATTCTAAGGAACCTAATAGCAATTTGAATGATTAATTTCAAAATATGAAAGCTTTAAGGGACTAATTTCAAAACATGAAAGGTTTTGGGGTCTAACATTCAGAAAAGCCCTTTTTTGTTTCCTAATAATCCACAAAGTATCTAAAAATTTGCAGAACTTGAGGCCTGAAATACCGCGATGTTGTCCAAGCTCCCTTGCAAATGTGATGAGAAGATGTTGGGATGCCAACCCCGACAGAAGACCGGAGATGGATGAGGTGGTGGCAATGTTGGAGGCCATCGACACTTCAAAGGGCGGCGGTATGATCCCCATTGATCATCAACAAGGGTGCCTTCCTTGCTTTATAAGATATAGAGGGCCTTGATGAGGAGCATGTTATTACAATGTTGTATAGATTTCCTTCTTGTAGTGTAATTAGTGTTTAGTTGCTTTTGTTAAGAAGATGTTAAATCATCTTTTTTTTAAAATTTAATTTTATCTTGTACATGAATAATTTGAACTTTTTGTTTCATCAAATTGTGGCGGATGTTAGAAAGCTTTGATTCTAATATGATCTACATACAGTTTAGGGATATGCATAAACATGGCCTCTTGACCAAGTAATATGAATTACTGCTGCAGACTGATGTCAATATTACTTTTTTGGGGTTATTTAGTATTAGTCCCTCAAATCTTTGATAATTTCATATTAGTCTCTCAAATCTTAGAAATTGCGCACAAGTCCTTTGAATCCTTAGGGCTTTTGAATTTGGTCTCTCAATGGCGAAGATCCTCTAAATTTGTGTTCCTCCCGAAAACTCCTCTTGTTTGAAAAAAGTTGGTTGAGGGATATTTTGGTCATTGAGGAACCACATTCCAAGACCCTACCAATCATCAGCACATCAAAGGGCGGCGGTATGAACCTTATCGCCACATCAAAGGGCGGTGATAGGGAGTATGATCCCTATTGATCACCAACAATTGCTTTTGAAAATCTTAGAGGGCCTTGATGATGAACAATCTTAGCTATGTTGTATAGATTTCCTTGTTCTGACGTAATTAGTTATTTAACTGCTTTTTATGGAAAATGTTGAATCATCTCTCCTTTGTTTGGTACATGAATAATATAAACCTGGTATATCACCAATTTATAGGAGGATATTAGAAAGCTTAGATTCATATTATGGTCAACAGTCTAGATATATACACAAGATTTTCTTGGCCTCTTAAACCATGTAATATGAATTACCGCGACATACTGATGTCCTATGTGCTGTCTTATTTTTTGGATAGTGTTTATACACAGCAAATTATCCTGGTTATCATTCACTTTAGATGAAAACATTCAACACAAATGGGCAACAGATAAAGAAATAGGATAGCAATGAGATTATCTCTGAGATAAATATACAAATTCTTTTACTTCTGGTCGTAGTCAAATAAAACAACTGAGCATTGAACTGAGCTTTTAAATGGAAAAGAGAGAGTAAAAGGCCCATAGATTGCTGTAAAAAGATGAAGGTTAACTCTTGTACAACCTGAAACTGAAACCCAAAAACTCAAGAGAAAAATGTTATGATAATTAACTCAAATTAAAATCTGGATTTGGAAACTGCATTTTATATTTTTTGTCAAACCTCTTTGAGACTCACTGTTTGATGTTCCTGTACATTTGCTTTCCAAAAGCACAAAATATGGCACAAAATCCCTCAGTCAACTGTGACTTCAAACTTCGATCAGTTGCTGTACATCATCGTCGTCGTTGTCATTCTCATCATGAGAGCTAGAAGAGGATGTAAGCAAATCTAGGCTTTGGCCATTATCCAACCTGGCATTCTCAAATTCTTCGAGCAGAAGATCTCTAATTCTCTTTCTCAATCCAGAAGCCTCTTCAGGCTGAAACCACTTGCTACCAAACTATCGCAGAAACACATAAAAGATTAAGATTAATGCATTTAATATCTGGTGTTAATGATATTGAAATAAAACCGAGAAATGTATATGGATAAGTGAGGAATTTTGTATTCTTTCTACTAACCATGGCAAGATCTTTCATTTTGAGCCTCTCTGGGGCCTCATCAATAAATCGTTCCATGAAGTAAAGAACAAATAGGCCACAGTCATACTCATTCTTCTGCTGTGGTACCTGGTTAAAAAATGATTAATTGTGTCCAATTGAACTTTAAGAAACAAGAATATGATTAAAGTTCAATTAAGGGAAAAAAATATTATCTGATCAAAGTTGGATGCTAACATTATCCTATGGATAAAAATTTGAGGCATTTTATTATTATCAAGAGTCTTGAGAAGTTTCGTACTCAGAGTCTAAAATTGAATTAATAAAACAATATTTCAGAATTTAATGTATTCAAATAAGTTCTTTTTTCTTTCATAGAAACCACCTTTAAATAGGGTGATTGTATGAAAACCACCATTCCAGGGGGTTCCAGTTGCAATAGACCACCATGACCTATTTTCTGATGAATTTTAACTAAAATCTCCAACATACCCTTAAAACACACAATGTCAAGCACAAGGTTTGATTAAGAAGGCATGTCACGTGCCTGACACATGTCTTCTTAGGGTATTTTGGGAATCAGTCAAAATTTCATCAGAAATAGGTCAACGACTCAACATGGTTGATTGCAACCGGAACTCCTTTTAAAGGCGGTTTCTGTAGAAATTAAACTTTGAAGGTAGTTTCTGCAGAACCACCTTTAGGTGGTTTACGTGAAAAAACCATTGAAATATTCATTACCTTTTACAGAACAACTCTTTTTTTTTCACTGCCTGAGCATGAGCTTATAACCTCCCATTTGTAAGATATTAACCCTATAAGAACAAAACTGAGGTGTTTCTTTCTCATGAAGAGTGCTTAGAAGATTCACACTAACAGTCTTAAGTATTGATTCAGTATAAAGAAATTTCAATAGTTAATGTATTATCATACGCTTATAAACTCGTCTTTTTCAACATTAAAGAGGTATTTTCTGCAAGGGTGAGTTAGTGCCATCATTTATTCATCAAAAACCATATTAACTACATGTCAAGTCCCTTTCATAGACACCACTTTAAGATTGAATTTGCAAGCAACAGCAAATAGACAACATAAATGAGATTGACCAACAAGAACTTTTTTTTTTGGCCATGTAAATACTAAATTGCATTCTGCTAGCAAGCGAGTTTAAGAGGCAATTCATAAAAACATCAGGATGGAGAAATTTACCCTTAATTTTTTCTTTTCGATGTTATGAGGGAGATTACTCCATATCCTTTCTGCAATAGGAAGATCTTGAGGAGGACCATTTTTGTTGATGTATTTCCATTCTTCTTTCAGATAACTACAATGCAGATTACCAACTTGCTTAAGAGTTCAACAAAAATAGTCAAATTCGTCAAAGAATAAAATAAATTAAAAAAAAAGGAATGTAAACTATGATTTGAACTAAGCTATTCTAAAAGATGCTTATCTGCGTAAAATTCTTTCAACAAAGTTCTGCACCAGTAACTTGAAGCATGTATTGTAAGCATTTAAACAATCTCATTAGCAAATTTTAGATTTAGAGGAATCAACTAAAGGAATACTTCTGCTTTGACTTAACTTACTATGAAGAAATTTCCTTATGTGTCCAGATAAAATCATTTTCGCTGGTTGCCTGGTATCATAAATCTTCTTTTATCTTAGATTTGGGAAAAGCAGCGAAAGAATTAAGATGTTAACAATAGCACTAGCGAATTGAAGCAATTAAAATCAATATGATGGCTATAAATAGGAGATGACTCTTAGTAGAACTATACAGAGAAAATGGATTCATGTAGCCAACCCAAGGGCTTTGAATAAAGGCTGCTGTAGTGTTGCTGTTGATGTGTTTTTGTTCATATATCACCAAAAACTAAGGGGTCTGAAAATTCAACCCATCCTAATAAACTATAATATATCTAAATATTTACTCAAAGGATTTCCGAATGCCTATTGTCTCATGGCTTCTTTGACAGAAACTAAATAGCTTCACATTCAGGCATAGTAACCATGAGAAGGATAGTTGAGTATACATTACAAGGATCGATTAAAACCACATTATGGTAGTAACAATGTTGGGATGACTAGAGCAAGACCAGTAGTCTTCACTGACATAATATTTCTGTACATGCAACAATTAATATGCAAGGAAATGTAAAAGAAAACTAGGAGAGACCGTTAGATTGTTTGACCCAAGGAATTCCATAGTGAAGCAAATTTTAGGTATTTGTTTACCACTGTGCAAAATTATATTATCTTATATATAGCATATAAATATTTTAAAGACTAATATAAGCCATTCTTTTTTTAATTTTAAAGGGAACACAGAGAAAAGCTACTCAAAGCTTATTTGCATTGGCTTCTACAAAGGATAAAATAAGTTCTGGGATTAGTAAAATCAGCCTTAATGATAAGCAGCCTTTGTTCAGGCACATGCCATTGTCATCAATGTTTTTTAAGCTATTCATGTAGGTATCATTCTTATTCAACATCTTGCACAGCCTTTTCTCAAATTGACAGAAGAAAACATAGAAAAATCTTCCATTGTGAGAATGATAGATTCAAGTGATTGCAAACGACAAGTAGTAAAAGAATATAAGGGAAAATAACGAGCGCATGATCAGATCAATAAGAATAATTGTATCAAGCAACTTACCTATGCACAACATCCAGAATTGAATCAGTAGGATGCATTCCCAATGAATCCAAATGAAGCAGAATTGGGCCCGATTCATCTTCCTTTGCAGGGATGCAAATAATTACCAAGCTCCAGTGCATGCTGATCATGCACAAGCATAAAGGTCATCATCAAATAATATTGCATGAATAATATATCCCACAACTGAAAAAGAATACCAAACTTATTTATTCAAGGAGGAGGAATCCCATGAAGTTAGTAAGAGCCTTGGATTTTCTGGATTTTATGATTTGTAACATGTCCAACAGTCAAAGTGAGTTATCAAATTTCAATGACACTTTAGGAATAGTTAGAAAACTTCACCTATTCCAATCTATAAAGGAAAAGTGAAGGCGGTAAATTTTTTGAAGTAGTGGAGAATCTCTTGTCCTCCATTAAATGTCAAGGATAGCATGACCAATTAAAAAAAAGTAATTATCACTCTCTTTCCAGAATGTCATTTAACTTTAGGCTTGATTTGGTAGAGGTTTTGGCCCATGAAAAGGCACTGAACCTTCAGGGGAATGTTAAATGTTTGGGAGTAAAGAGAACTTTAACAAAGTTAAAATATCTGTAACGGATTGGAAGGGGTTCAGATGAAAATCGATAAATGCCATTTGTTTAAGCTAACTTGATTAGGTTGATTATTTATATCTCAACATCATGCATCCTTCATGCAGAATTTTACATGTCACTGACATCAAAGAGATTAAAAAACTTGAAATTTTTGGTGGAAATATTTCATTTTCATCAGTGTCAAATTCGTCCTATGTCCACCTACCATCTGAAAAGAAAACAGGGGAGTTTTCAAGATTTCATTAATCCAAGACAGAAGGATTATTGAAGATGAGAAACTTCAATGAAATTGAGGAACAACGTAAATCATCAAAAAAACAACTTACTCTCCATGGATTGGCAAAAAGATGTATGCCTTCTGAAAAATATTTACGCCTTTCCACCATCGCCTCAATTTCAAGAAACATGCATCCTTATCACCCTGCATATTGTACAACAGTAGTGAATAAAATTGAATGGAAAAAGAGTAGGAATCTGGTTTCGGAGGGGGGAAAGGCAGATATTTTCCAGGGAGTGGATAACATTACAAAATGAAAATTCCAATAACCTAGAATCACTGAAAGGACAGGACTTATAAACATTATTAATAGTCATGAACGAACATATCATCATTCTCGAACATATCTAAGGCAGGCAACTCATAAACATGTTGTACCGAAAACAAATTAACTGAGTACCATCCACCCTTTGATGAATAATCATGCAAAGAAGCACAAATAGCTGCCCTCTATATTCTATTGAAGCAGGCACTGGAAATCACTAACTCGCCTAAATAGTAATGTATCAGAATTCATCTATATTATGTTACTTTTTCGACACAGGTTACTTTGGGCAAATCAACTCTGCTGTTTCAATTTGTAGAGAAGCATACCTTGCATGAAATAGCGTCACGAAGTTTTCTGAAGAAATATGTGTTAAAAAAATGATACTCGCCTCTCGGTTGGCCTGCTGGAGATAGTGGTTTTTGAAGATAGCTGCACAGTGAAAGAAACATCCTTAAAAGTCTTGAGTAACAAATGGTTCAGCCATCAATTATCATGCACAAATTTTCAACAACTGCACAATAGTTGGTAGAAAAAGGAGAAAAGTAAGAATAAAAGATAAATTCATGGTATAAAATCAGTTAAATTTTTGACATCAATTTGTTATTAGAATTATCAGCACTCCAATGAAGCAGATATGGACCAGATAAATTTTCACCCTCCAGTCATTCACAAGAATGCAGACATAAGAAGAAAATTTTTCAAACACAGACAGTAATGATATTTTTTATAACTTATATTATGTTGGATATAAAAACATCCATTGTAACAGGTATAGTGTCAGTGTAATTTTAACATGAATATTTGCTTCAAGCCTTCAACAAATACTGTGGTGAAAGATAAAGTGCATCACTTGATATTTGGCAACTGAAAATAAAAACAGCGTCAGCAAAAAATCATTAACATAAGATGCATCGACTTTTAAATTGTTAAAATTTTCAAAACTATAGTCTAGAATACATGACTAAGGACCTTGAATTGGTAAGAAGTAATTAAAACTAACACAAGCTATATTTAAAATGACAAAGGACCTTGAATTGGTAAGAAGTAATTAAAACTAACACAGGCTATACAGCAAATATTTATCATAGCCCAATTCATGAGTTGACCTTCACGCTTCATAAATAATAATATTACAACAAAAAATATCAAATTTGCTCTAGTATGTAACAACAAAAGGATCTACCGATGCTCACTAACCAAAACCTAAAACAAGATGCCTAACAGATAAAGCAAAATCATAAGCGTTCATAAGTTGAAAAGAAATGGAAACGTCGGAGAAAACAATGAGATTTTATGTTCAGTGGGTTACCTCAAAATGGATGTAGAGCCCATGGAGAAGAAAGATAAATGCAAAACAATGCATAAGACCAAACCCTTCAAAAATATAATATAAGAGACTTAGAATGAAGTGCATGATTTGCACTTTGTATGATATGTTTTTGGTGTACATACTATTATGTAATATTCGCTTTTCCGTGTCACTACACGGAAAATGTCGTCACGTTTGTACAAAGAGTGAGGGTTTCAACTTTCATCGTTGATCATGAGTACTAAAGCAATCAACAGATAAGTAAAGAATAGACATATGCATGAAATATATTCCAATGAATTTTGGCTATACATGCATCAATTATCCCTTGCACGCATGCAGAGTGAATAGATACTACAACACTTTTCTTAACGAAAAAGGTCATCACTTCGCTTCAGAGTAAGCATCTTCAACAGTGATTGTGAGTGCTTAAACAATCAACAAGTAACTAAAAGAATAGACGCGCATGAGAACTACACTCCAAATGTATTTTGACCATGAGTGCACATAAATAACTAAGTCGCACAAAGAGAGGGAGTCCATGCACATGCGCGTGTTTATGATCAGTTTACCGCTACAAACTATAAGAACTAAGCCTAGGCCAACAATTTGAGCACACACCACACATATGCATACACTCATGTCAATTTTGAATGTGATAAACCCTCACATAGGCATATCATCATGCCCACTTTGATAAGTGTTCTCCCAGCTCTATGAAGAGCAACAAAATATGTCCTGCTAAAGAAAGAAGGCAAATCCAGATATACATATATTATTCATTCAATCCTTGAATGCATACTTTACGTAAATCCAATATTATGTAAAGATCTTTCAGTGCTGGAAAGAAATGAGTTCTAACCGAATATAAAAGTTCATTATAGGTGATATCAAATATTGTTCAGGTCCTAAGCATTTAATGTCCGCGTATGAAAGTTCAATGGCTTCTGCATCATCCCTGCCAAAGATAATAGAAAAGAAAGTTCAATTTAAAGCAGCAATTTCAGCTAGTTGTCCTATTTCTACATTTTCCTCATCACTTCAAAGGAAGCTGCACCTTGAAGGGTAATAGATCTTAGCCTCTTTCCTGAAAAAAAAAAGACTTAATAATATGAGAAATACAATTTCAATAAGGTAAAAGTAGTTTCCAAAAAAAGAGTGAAAGGAAAAGTGCAACACAATAATAGGCAGTAATTTTTCTTTGAAAAATTGAATCACCCGTCATCAGGAGAATCTTCTAGTCTTGACTGTTCATGTTCCAATTCTTCTTCATCCAAAATAACCACACCTTGAACCTGTCCAAATTACAAATCATGTCTTTCAAGTGGGGGAATAATGTTCCAAATTTCATATGTCACATCGATAATGAAGGACAAAAATACTGCTACCAACCAAAAAAAAGACATAAAATGTTCAAACAAAAGGAGCAATAGTCTAATGCTGGGGATCACCTTTAAATGAAAACAGTACATGCTCCCATAGTTTCCAATTTTATCTTCTGATTTTAGTGTTAGGAATTTTGGAAAACTGAAATTATCTAAACTTGTTAATATATTGGCTCCCTTGACTATTTTTGCCATACTCACAATGAGAGTTTCATTCTGCATTCTAAGAAAAGCATCGACTTATTTTAAGTCACCACACTGAGAAGTCAAATGAAAAAACTTCACACAGAATGCATTGAAAATTCTGTAAAGGAAAAGTCTACCCCTTCATCATTCAGCTAACAGTCAAAAATCAGTGGTGAATCTCGGACCAACTACAGGAATTTTAAACTTAAGGACACTGTGTCGAATCATAAGCCAAAAAAACCCAAACTTGTTGGAAAATATTCTTGATGACTAACTGATACTTAAGCTGGAGCCTGGGGCATCATATAGTATGAAGAAGACAAGACAAAGTCCCACTAACAAAAGAAATGAAGAAGCTTCTCATGCATACAAGGTCTTAAAAAGAAAAAAGAACCCATCATGCTGACCAACTGGAAAAGACCCTTCTTTTAGCATGGCAGGAAAAAAGAGGATGTAATCCACAAATGAGAGCCGAAATAAACTAGCACTACTATGATTGTAACAGATTACGATGCAATTGATGCTAATGGTGCAACAATGAGGACGATGCAACAAATGTGTTCTATGAAAGAACTTTGTTTATGATAATCAAATAGGAAATAATAACTAATAGATAAAAATCAGCATAATTAATAATAGAGGAGAATCCGTTTAACAACAAGTTAAAAGAATGGACCGGGAAGAAAAAAAAGCACCTTTGTTGACCTTCGATCCAATGCATAGGTATTCTCAAAAGCTTTCCTGCTATCATAGGATATCAGACATGTCAAAAAAGAATCATACTTGAAAATATCATTAGTGCCTATGGTACCAATGAGAAATTGAACTAATAGGGATTTACAACATATGCACCAACTTTAAGACATCACAGTTCATAGAAGTCAAAGGTATATCAACCAAACAAGAACTCCTTTATAAAGGTAAACTATTTAAGCGGACCAAATAAAAAACTCATTCAAAGAAATGAATGTCCTAGTACATTAAGGGTACACTTAAACTCACTAGATTTGCATCTCACTCGCCAAAGCACAGGGTATTTTTAGATGCACTTACTACAAAACCTCATGTGCAATTTAGACATGACATGACTGCCAGGATGAAGACCTGTCCTCATTATAAGTCTAAGAGGATTTTTGAAGGGGCTTATTTTTAGAGGCTTTTAAGCTATGTTAGATTTTGGTGGCTTTTGGCTTTTATGATAAAAATTGTTTGGGTAGAATAGTTATTTGTTTGGTAAAAAAATCTAGCTTATTTAGGTGAGCTTATAAGTTAGTTTTTTAAGTGGTAGGATATACCAGCTTTTTGAACTGGGGCTTATAAGCTAACTTATTTGGTATTTTACAAAACTTATAGATATGAAAAACCTATTTTACCAAACTTATAGATATGAAAAAACTAACTTAAAAGCTACTTTAACCAAAAAATAAGTTCATCCAAACACCCTGTAAGTGTGAAGACAAACAATCACTAGGACAAGAATATTATTCTTAGCAAGCCACAGTTACAAGAATCATCTTAGCACAGCAAGGCATTGGTGATAACAGACATCTTAACACAAAAAGATTTCTTATTTGAAATGCATAACAAATATTGAGAAGTAAATTGAATTTAACTTTTAAAGCACTCCAAAGATTCGTTTGAAACCACTATATGGCAGAAGATACGTAAAACAGAACTTATTAATTAAAGTAAAAATATATACATTTAAGACAAAGTGCAGCCTCATTCTATAACATTATATGATAAAATATCACATCTTGGTAATTGCTTGGTTATCTCGAACCAAGTAACATGTTATGACCCATGGTCGCTCAAAATTTTATAGTGCTTGAATAGTCGACTATAATGAGACAGATCCAAGTTATGGAGCTATGAGTTGACTTTTAATCAGCTTCCTTCAGCATTTTTCTTATCACAAAAAAAAAATCAAAAAATAATCATAAAGAATTAATACATCAAAACAAAGAACAGCGAATCACTACTATAGGGAGTATCGCTGGTGTAGTTATCAGCAAATACTAGAACATGTAAGAGGAACCCTCAACATGCAGATTGAGTTTATTTCAAATTTAAAGTCTTAAAGATCACAAAGAAGTCAAAGAAACAGGAAGTTTGAGATAAAGGAGGACTGATTTGATTTCTTAAGTCAAATAAGAGTTTAACATGAAACTTTTAGTAGGATGGTCTTAAGCAGAGCAGCCAGTTCAGTTGTCCTATTCTAACAGTATGCCATCTGAATAGTGACAATAATATAAATAAAATGTTCTTAGGATCCAACTTCAGAGAAAAGAGGCTTTGTATTCATTAACATAGTCCATAGGAATAACTCTTTGTTTTCCTCTCCTAGCACCAACCTACTAGCTAAGAGAAGTTTGCTCCCGTATGAACAAACCCATAAAAGAAATGCCCAATTTTTTCCCCTTAATTAAAATGTCCACTACAGCCTAAATTCTTGAAGATGAAGTTATGCAAGAGTTTCTAAAGCTCATCTCCCTCAGGCCACAAAGTATATGATTTTTTTCCCCATTTATGTGAGAAGTCTTGTGATAAAACTATGAAATCTAAGATGATATCACAAAATTTCCATCTTAAGAAATATTGTTATTTGAATAAGAACGTAATAATAGTGCTCAAGAAATACAAAAAAAACAGAGAAAATTTTACATCTTAGAATGGCTATTGAAAGAGTTTTTTCCTGCAGATGAAGGTCCAGTGATCCTGCAATCACTATCTTTATCAGCAACACTGCTTGCACATTGGAAAGGTGAAGATATACTAGACATTCTTGCTGTTTGAGAAGAAAGCTTAGCTAGCTTTCTATTATCTAGCACCCGTTGTCTACTTTTTCTTGAATTTTTGCACTTATCTCGAGTGATAGATCTCCATTCCCTGTTAGACCTGTTAGATGCAGTATCTGCCTGATAATGGAAGTGAGAAAACGCTCGCCAAAAAAATATAAAGAACACATGCACATGAATGATAAGTATCAATTTACCCTCTCTCGTAAATTCTTGGAGAATAGCGATGTAAATGAAAGTGGAGACTTTGTAGCTGTAGAAGGGCTTGAATCATTTCTTAAGTCTGCAAGCTTGCAAGGCACTAATGCTGAATGCAATAAAAAAATATCATTCTTAAAGTACAAACAGTTAAAGGTACATTGAAAAAAAAAACTACAAAACAACTGTTAAGTCCATGCAGCAAAAGTCAACAATAACCAACAATTCATGTAAATACAAACTAAAAGAACACAAAAGTTTAACTATGAAGAATTAATCATAGCTCACCGGGTGCCGCCCTAGCTTCAGACTCTCTAAGCCTCTCAAAATTTTCAGCATCCTGCAGTAAAAAGCGAAGTTAAGATAAATGTATTACAGTGAGAAACATATAATAGAGATTAATGATTAATTCTCAACCTACAAAACATTACTTCAAGCCATCATTTGTGTTGCTTCTAAGGTATGGTTTCTTGCCTTGTTTGTAAGTCAAATTGACGATGTGAGAAACATATAATAGAGATTAATGATTAATTCTCAACCTACAAAACATTACTTCAAGCCATCATTTGTGTTGCTTCTAAGGTATGGTTTCTTGCCTTGTTTGTAAGTCAAATTGACAATGTTTTAAAAAATTGCTTAGGAGCCCGTCTAGGCCTAGGCAGTACCTAGGCCGCCCATCTAAGTATTGGGTGCACTTAAGGAACGTGGGTTGCATACGCGAACTATACCGCTTAGGTTTTGGTCATGATTTCCTCTGGTGCCGCCGCCACCTCTACGTCCTCTAACGTCTTCTACAGACTACAAACACCTGCTCCACCTCCCCCTACCTTCAGCAAACCCTCCTCCATCACCAATTAAACAAAAGAAGAAATCAGCCTAGGCCACGCCTAGGCGTCTTGCGTCCGCCTAGGCGCTAGGCACCAGTCCAGCGCCTAGAGACTAGGCGCTTTCTGTAACATTGCAAATTGATGGTCTTCTTAACAAAATTACAACTAAAACAATTAGCACTTTTCTTCTTCCCAACCATAATTCTAGGTAATATAAGGATGCATCATAATTCTCGTATTGTTATGCGTTCTATATTTTCGTCATCATTCTTTTATGGATTATTTGCAAATAAATACCCAAAAGTATTAACCAGTTTTGAGATGAATGGTCCACAAGTTAAATTTGCCAAAAAGCGGAACTTTACATTTTGGCATGTTCAGTAAGCTAACCATCAGAAAGTCGGTCAAAATGATCACATGACCATTTTTGGACAATTTTATCTGCGAATAGCCGTTATTCACTGCCATAATATCCTAAACCCTGTCTTTCCGGCTTTTTCTATATGCATTCCTTCATTGGATACCCCTCTCATACTCTATTCCTCCCTTAAATGCCAAATAATTCCCTATTCTCTTCCTCTAATTACACAAAATGGATTATCCATTTCTTCAAACATTGCATTTAAAAATACATTATATATCTCTTTCAATCACTTCTTAAACCTGCTGTCGCTATCAAATAAAATCCCAGAAAATCCAGATAGACCATTAAAAGTACATTACACAACCTCAAATGATAGAACAGAGTAATAATAGTACCTATTTCCATATACACATACAAAGGACCATCCGATAATTTACTTTTTGAGCATTTCCTTCAAGTCTATAAAATACCACAAACTTAATACTTGCAACTCTGATGGCAAATGCCTACTGGGGTTATAACTTCCTATCCCCAATCACTATGGGGAACCAAACCAAATAATTAACAAATAGTTTGTTAATTGTTTGAGTAACTATTTGCTTATATTTGATTTGGAAGTTCATTTAACAGTAATCAAATAATTAACAAATAACGTTTAGTATTTGGATTCATAAAATAGAACTAGACAAGATGTCTAATCGATCCGTTCGCTTACCAAAAATTTGTTTAATATTTAACCACTTATAATTATATTATTATGCACATGATATTATGCCTTAACTCACTTACATATTCTATTTAAGTTCAGTACTAATTTTGATAGACTTAAATAGTCCATAAATCAATTTTTGAATTCAATTATGGATTTAAATATTATTTAAAAATCAAATTTCTTTAAAAAAGTGAAAGTATTTCTTTAACCACGTAAAAGTATCTTCTTAGTCAAATAGTTTAATTAGCAAAAAATATTAAGTATTAGTCAAAATATACTTTAACATTTGGTAAATAATAGTGAATATTTGACAAATAATGAACATTCGAATTCGAATCTGGAAAAAATCCTAAAAAGGATTCTTGAAGAATTTTGAAAAACTTAGACAAGTACAAATACGAACACCTTCATATTCGGTTTGATTCATTTCCAGCAAAACAAAGAAAAAGATTCATTTCGATTGAAATCCATTGCATGTCAAAGACCACCAAATTTTAACGATTATAACATAGAATGAAACACTTGCAACTCCTATGTTAATTGCCAGTTTTCACAAATCCTACAAAGCACTATAGAATACCGCCAATTTTTATACTATAAAATGCCACAAATCTCCTTCAAACACAGAAATCCCACGAAATCACATCCTATAAGGTACCACAAATTTAATACTTGCAAGTTGCAACTCTGAGGATAATTGCTGAATGTGTATCATCTATAAACCTGTATCTCTGATCACAAACAAAGGTACATTTCAATCACAATGAAGGGTATTGTATATGTGTTGTACATGTCTTTCAAGCATTTTCTCTAAACCCCAACAATCATGTCCATTAAGTTTAATGCATTCCAGAAGAAACCCACATCCAAAATCCTACGAAATCAAATTCAACCTATTTAGAGCAATTTTCTCCAAGACTAAATATCCAAAATCAAACAAAAAACTCATAGAGACAACCATACATTTTCGAGCTCCGCAAAATGGGGTATACCGTATATCTATAACTCTCGACCTCCAATCACAACAAAGAGCCATTTCCGTTACAATACATTTCAAATTATATATCTTTGTCAAGCATTTCTCTAAAATCTAACACCCATATTCACTAAAATTTCGCAAACAAAATTGTACCATTTTTAACCCTCTCCTTAGAAAAGAAGAACCTGCATCATAATCCAAAAGACTCAATTTTACCCTATTTAAAGCAATTTTCTTGAAGACTCATGGCTAATAACCAAACAAAACCTTATAGAAAGTTGGAAACCATATTTCTTGACATATTCTATAAAAGCCAAATTTAACCATAATGACATACAATAAAATACTTGCAACTCCTATATCACTTGCCACAAATCCTATGAAATACAAAAAAAAAACCCTCAAGCACTCATAAATCTAATAAAAAACACAAATCCTATAAAATACCATAAATTTATTGGTTTCAATTGCCAGGGCTGTTGCCAAATGGGTCATCCATAACTCTCTATCTCCAATCACAAGTAAAAAAAGGTCCATTTCAATTGCAACAGATTGCACGGTATATATCTTTCTCAAGAATTTCCTCGAAAACCCAATGCCCATATCTAGTAAAATCTCACAACAACCTAACTCGAAACTTTTTATCTATTCCCTCAAAAACTAACATCTCAAAACCAAAAACTAAAAAAAACAAATTCAACCTATTCAAAGCAATTTTCTGAAAACCCAACACCAGAAATCAAACAAAACCTCATAAGACCATAGATTTCAGGAAATCCTACGATAACTCAAAACTTGCAAGTCCTATTCCAATTGCCACAAATCCTATAGAATACAATAAAATAACACAAATTTCCTTCTCATGCAAAAAACCAATAACATACCACAAACTCAATGCTTGCAACTCCTATGTCAATTGTCAAATGGGGTATCATCCCTAACACTCTATGTGACTATGTCCAATCACAAACCAACGTTTATTTTCAACCGTAATACAAACAAAATCCCATTATCTCAAAAACCCACGTCCCAAATCCAAGAAAACCCAAAATTTAATCTATTTACAACAATTTTGTGAAAACCCCATCAAACAAAATCAAACCTTTCGAGCCTTGGCAAGCTTCCGATGGTCAAGCTCGTCCTGCAACTGGCGAAGATTGTACCGCAACTTTGCGCCCTTATCGGGCAAGCCCTCGCGCAAATTAGAGCCCAAGGTATTGGAAATCCTCTGGATTTTTTCACTGATTTGATGATCGCTCAGTGCGGATATGAAGCCCGGATCGATGTTATTGCGAACAATCTCGATTTCAGGGGATGGGGAATCGGTGTTTTTAGAGGAGAGGAGATCATTCCAATCGAGTGTTAGAGGGGCTTTGGCCATTAAAAGAGAAAAAGTCTCTCCTTTTTCAGAGGAAAAAAGAGAGATTTTGATGTAGAAAGGGAAAAGAGAGGAGAAGGAAGAGGTTTTTGAGTTTGTGGAGGGTAAATGTGTAATTTTCACGCATAATGAGTGTTTTGTGAAATTATTTGGTAAAATTGTGTCAAACCCCCAAAAACAAAAACGTCATGTGCTGCAGCCCATTTGACTTTTCCTCATATGTTTTAGTCTTTAAATTGGAGATCTATGTTCTGCGTCTTTCTTTAGCAATTATTATCTGCCAACTAAGGGGCTGTTTGGTTGATGTATTTGGCATTGGGGTAGGGCAGAAAGCCTGCCAAAAGAGCACTTTTAGCAGGCTTTCTGCCCAAAACGCCTCTAAAAAGAGGCGTTTTGGGCAGAAAGCCTGCCACAACCCTCAATGTCAAATACATCAACCAAACAGCCCCTAAAGCATAGAGAGAAAATAAAAAATAAAAAATAAAAAAAACCAAATGTCCTTATCACCTCTATTCTTTCATGTTAGGTTATATTCTTTCATGTTAAGTCTAAAAGCAAGTTGAATTAGACTTAACATAAAAGTCTAATTCCATGTTAAGTTTAATTTAATTCATGTTAACTCTAATTTAATTCCTTTTAATTCAAATTAAATCATGTTATGTCTAATTCAACTTGTTTCGAGTCTAATTTAATTCGTGTTAAATTTAATTTAACTTGTTTTAAGTCTAATTTCATGTTGAATCTAATTTAATTCATGTTAAGTCTAATTTAATTCCTTATAAGTCTAATTTAATTCCTTATAAGTCTAATTTAAATCATGTTTTGTCTAATTCAACTTGTTTTAAGTCTAATTTAATTGGATTTAACATAAAATTAGACTTAAAAAGTTGAATTAGACTTAACATGATTTAAATCAGACTTAAAAAAAATTAACATAATTGAAATTATACTTAAAATAAGTTAAAATAGACTTAACATGATTCATGTTAAGTCTAATTCAACTTATTTTTAGACTTAAAATAAGTTGAATTAGACATAACATGATATAAATTAGACTTAAAAGTGAATTAAATTAGAGTTAACATGAACCGAATTAGACTTAACATGAATCGAATTGGACTTAACATGAATTAAATTGGACTTAATATGAAATTAGACTTAAAACAAGTTGAATTAGACTTAACGTGATTCGTGTTAAGTCTAATTCAACTTGTTTTTAGACTTGAAACAAGTTGAATTAGACATAACACTATTTAAATTGGACTTAAAAAAATTAAATTAGATTTAACATAAACTAAATTGGATTTAACATGAAATTATACTTAAAACAAGTTGAATTAGACTTAACAAAATTTAAATTAGACTTAATATAGACCGAATTAGACATAACATGAACCGATTTGGACTTAACATGATTTAAATTGGACTTAACATGAACAAAATTGGACTTATTATGATTTAAATTAAACTTAAAAAAAGTTTAACATAATTAAAATTAGACTTAAAATAAGTTGAAATAGACTTAACATGATTTATGTTAAGTCTAATTCAACTTATTTTTAGACTTAAAATAAGTTGAATTAGATATAACATGATATAAATTAGACTTAAAATAAATTAAATTAGACTTAACATGAACCGAATTAGACTTAACATGAACTGAATTTGACTTAATATGAATCAAATTGGACTTAATATGAACTTATACTTAAAACAAGTTGAATTAGACTTAACGTGATTCATGTTAAGTCTAATTCAACTTGTTTTTAGACTTGAAACAAGTTGAATTAGACATAACGTTATTTTAATTAGACTTAAAAGAAATTAAATTAGACTTAACATGAACTAAATTAGATTCAATATGAAATTAGACTTAAAATAAGTTGAATTAGACTTGTCATAATTTAAATTAGACTTAATATAAACCGAATTGGACTTAACATGATTTAAATTAGACTTAACATGAACCGAATTGGACTTAATATATAATCCATATTAAGTCTATTTTATTTTATTTTAAGTCTAATTTCATGTTAAGTCCAATTTAAATTAGACTTAACAAGATTTAAATTAGACTTAAAACGATTTAAAAATTAGACTTAAAATGATTTAAACTAGACTTAACACGTACTTAACCGGACTTAACACAAACCAAACTGGATTTAACACGAACCAAACTGGACTTAACATGAACCAAACTGGACTTAACATAAACTAAACTGGACTTAACACTAAACTAGATTAAAATTAGACTTAAAATGAATTAAATTAGATTTAACATGAATCAAATTGGCCTTAACATGAAGTAGAATTGGACTTAACATGAAATTAGACTTAAAATAAGTTGAAATAGACTTAACATGATTCATGTTAAATCTAATTCAACTTATTTTTAGACTTAAAATAAGTTGAATTAGACATAACATGATTGAAATTAGACTTTAAAGGAATTAAATTAGACTTAACATGAATCAAACTGGACTTAATATGAATCAAATTGGACTTAACATAAAATTAGACTTAAAACATGTTAAATTAGACTTAACATGATTTATGTTAACTCTAATTCAACTTATTTTTAGATCTAAAAAAATATTGAATTAGACTTAACATGATTTAAATTAGACTTACAAAGGAATTAAATTAGACTTAACATGAATCAAATTGGACCTAACATGATAGATCTGGAGAGAACGAAGAGGGAGGAGAAAATGAGGGTATTTTGGGCTTTTATGTTTGTTTCTCTCTTTGTGCTTAGTTGACATGATAATTACATGTAAAAAGAGATGCAGCACATGATGTGATATTTCTTGGGGCTGAATCACATGATCAAAAAGTGAAGAGGCTGCAGCACATAAGGATTTTACTTTTGAGGCCTTAACACAATTTTCCCAAATTATTTTCTAAAATAAGTATTTTTTATGTGTCCTATGCCAAATCCGTCATTACAACAATTTTGATACTAATTGGTAAATTAAAATAAACTTTAAAGATGCTCTGAGCAGGAAGAATATTATGGGTTTTTTTAGTAATAATTCTATCAAAACACTAACCTGCGAGAGATGATCTGAACCGTAGACTTGAACTACAAAGGTTCAGATCGTCGCGCACAGTGGGGGATTTTTTTTGGCTATTAATTATTCATATTAATTAGATTACCCCTACCTTCATCTTAATATTTATTAAGATGTCACTCTAAACTTCAATATTGAGTTTATATGTGATCAATAATTTAGCGAATAATAAGAAATATTTTGAGAATACTCCTTTCTAGGCACATTATTTCAATGTTGGAATTTTGAAAGTATTTTAATAATATAAAGATCTGAAAGTATTTTAATAAATCTAGATGAGCTAAAACCCCCCAAAAAATCGTATAGAAACAACTTTTTATATATATGGTACCATATGTGTTACAACATTAATTATTGCTAGCACTAGTTTATGTATTACTTATAATGCTAGGAATTCAAGAGAGATCATTCAGAGATTATGCATTCAGGAAAGAAAAAAAGATGAGAGGGAAATATCCAAAAAAAGAAAAGGAGAAAAGTTTAAGTGGTATATTAATGAAACAATTAGTGAATTTTGATAAGGATGATGATGCATGACATAGATAGAGAAGATAAAAGGAAGTGTTTAATGATACATTTAATAAATATTAATTCTAAACAATAATAATAGAATGTATATAATATGTGCTATTATATAAAGAACTTTGTGAGGGTAGTAAAAAATGAATGATTAGATGGCATGTTCTCATTTCTACTATGAGTAGTGATAACTACACTATAAGATTTATACTACTTTTATACTCACGCAAAAAAAAAAAGTAGGGTCCATGACAATTTCTAAGAAAAGACAACATAATTTCCTTAGTGATATTACAAGTTTGTTAGCGATAGTACAAGAGTAGTGGGGAAATGGTAGTACAATTATTATTTTCCTTCTACTATCTTTTGAAGGGCAAAAAAGAAATTTAATAATAGTCATTTTTCTCTTTCTTTTTATTTGGGGAAATCTAGTACAATTATTATTTTCCTTCTACTATATTTTGGAGGTTAAATAATAAATTTAACAATAGTCATTTTCCTCTTTTTTATTTCTCTTTCTTTTTTTGTTTTCTAGAATATTCCATATCATACAAACATTTCTCTCTTCCTTTTTCTTTCTCTTTATTTTTTTTATTTTCTGAAACATTCCATAACCAAACAATGCAATGAACAGAGGATTGGCCATATAATTATCTATCCATTATATCTAATGTGCTTAAAGGTATACAAATAAAAATTATAAGTTTCTTTCATTGTGAATAATAACATGTGTAGCAAAAATAATAATAAAAAAGAATAACAAAGTAACAAATAGAATTTTTTTAGAAAACTATAAGTTGTGTGCATCAGGCATGTGCATTTATTATGCAATAAAAGAAATAAAACTTGAACAAACGAATATAATAGGTGAACAAAACCTTATTTTCTGTATAGAATAAAGGGATAGCTTCCTTGGGTTTTAAGATCTCACATTGTAATCGCATATATCATGCTCCCTTTAAAAGTACGAGTTCGGAAAAATAAACAAATGTTTAAAATTCAAAATTTACAAAAAACATCCTAAAATTTTTAAATTTATTAGTAAATTGAAAGCATAGGAATTATAAATAGTCTATAAATAATTTACAATCTATAGAAAATGCCTATAAGTTTAAAAAATTATAAAAAGTTCTTAAAATTCATAATTTACAAAAAAAATACCATGAGAATTTCTAACATATAGACACTAAAATGAATATACAAAATTACTAACAACCCCTAGAAAATTAAAATTTTGCAAAAAATATCATACACCTTTTAAAAGTATAGGTTTAGGAAAAAAATTTCATGGTAAATGTTACCCTTAACTTTTTTGAAAAGAACATAAATAATTAAAAATCTATTAAATTTAAAATTTATAAAAAAACACCCTTAAAGTATAGTACATTTTAAATTATCCCTCCAAAGATTAAAAATTTTCAATAATTTTTTTGTAATTCCTTAATTTCAATGTAATGTTTAATAGTTTTGTGTATTTGTAA